GTTTGCTGTTCAGATTATCTTGGAAATGTATTAACACTCAAATTGAGTGATATCATTTCTGTCTTATTGCTGTTGAGAGAATAATAAGCAGAGAGACAAAACAGCACTTAAGCATGGTTCTCTAATAGCCTATTGGTTTCAATGATGTTTTGCTTTTCAGTTTGGTGCATTAAAACATTTGAAAATACTTAAAATAAAAAGAGACATGGCGGCTATACTGATGGACCCTACTTTTCTCAATAGACATATTTCTGAGAAATTATAAGTAAATAAGATTATATGCTTACCGATTAAAGGAAATCTCTAGTAAGCCTTTTGAAAAACTTTCAGGACAGCTCAAGCTGTGTGCATGTGGTTAAAAATGGCACTGTTCAGCATCTTTGGAGACTTTAGGGGTATGTTATACAGGGTTTTTATTTACTCAAAGAGTCAAAGAACCTCCTGTCTTTCAATTCACTTACTTTAATAACTGTTGTTTGGTCTCATTTAGATAATGCATTGACTCATTACTTTTTCAAGCCCTCGCTTCCTTCTTACTTAGTTAAGATGCCATGGTCCATTACTATAATTTCTCCCTTGCATATATCATCAGCAACCTTGCCATTTTCTCCCTAAGTAGATGAATGTCACTAGAGAAAAATCCCAGTTATTTCACATTTATTGTATTACCATATCTTAAATGGCTCCTCAACACTACCCTTGAATCCTACTACATTCTCCTACTAAATTTGCTTCCATACCAGACTGTTTGTTAGATTGTTGATATTTGAGCTTTCTGTTTTTTGGATGTGAGCATTTAATGCTATTAGTTTTCCTCTCAGGAATGCTTTCGCTGGGTCCCACAGATTTTGATAACTTGTGTCCCTGTTCTCATTTAGTTTGAAGAATATTTTGATTTCTCTCTGTATTTCCTCCTTTACCCAATAGTTATCCAACAACAGATTAATTTCCATGAGTTTGTGAAGTGATGTGTATTTCTGTTGGAATTGAACTCTAATTTTATATCACTATGATCTTAGAAGATACATCGTATAATTTCTATTTTTTTTAAAATTTGTTGAGGTCTGATTTGTAGGCTTGTATGTGATCAATTTTGAAGAAAGTTCCATGAGCTCATGAGAAGAATGTATATTCAGTTTTGTTTTGGTGGAATGTTCTGTAGAGGTCTGTCAGACCCTGTTGTTCTAGAGCTGTGTTTAAGTCCATTATTTCTTTGCTTATTTTCTGTTTGGAAGATCTGTCCAGTTCAGTCAGTGGGGTGTTGAAGTCCCCGGCTATTATGGCGTTATTGTTTATCATGCTATTTAGATCAGACAGGGTTTGCTTTATGTATCTGGGTGCTCCTGAGTTGGGTGCATAAATATTAAGAATTGTTAAGTCTTCTTGTTGGATCTTCCCTTTCACCATTATATAGTGGCCGTCTTTGTCCTTTCTTACTTTTTCTATTTTAAAGCTTATGTTATCTGAAATAAGTATAGCTACCCCTGCTTTCTTTTGACTTCCATTTGCCTGGATGATAGTTTTCCATCCCTTCACCTTGAGTGTGAAAGCATCTTTGTGGGTTAGGTGTGTGGATTTTTATCCACTCGGCCAGTCTATGTCTCTTCAGAGGACAATTCAAGCCATTCACATTTATTGAGAGGATT